CTTCGGCTTCGTGCTGCTGCCGCCCTTCCTCCGCGGGAGGAGCTGGGTCAAGTTCGGGAAGCGTATCCCAGACCTAGACCCCTCCAAGCCGGCCGCGCAGGTGCTGCTGACCAATATGGCCCGAGTCTATGGCAACATCTATAGCTTCTTCGTGGGCCCCTACCTGGTGGTCGTCCTCAACGACTTCCACAGCGTGCGCGAGGCGCTGGTGCAGCAGGCCGAGGCCTTCAGCGACCGTCCACGGATGCCGCTGGTCTCTCGAGTGACCAAGGAGAAGGGTGAGCTGGGCCCGGGAGCCTCAGGTGTCCGGGGACTTGTGAAGCCAGGAGGCTGCGGACCTGTGCCCCCGCCAGCCGCACGCACCCCGCTGCGGCACTCCTGCATCCCAGTCGCGGGCGGGGTAGAGGGGCAGCAGTGCCTCCCTTTTCCGTAGCCTTTAAGATGCCACTCAACTGTAGCTGATGGATTACTCGTTCATATTTCAAGATCAGGAGGAAGGGTAATGGGAGGGACGGGGGTGACAACAAAGTGTGAAGCCTGGCCGCGTCTCTCCAGGGGAATTCTCTCCTTCCCAGAACCAAGCCTCACTCCTCAGGCCCTGTCCTGGGGAAAAAACTTGGATCCTTTTCACCTTCTGAGTTTTGTGTGCAAGAGTTTAAGAATAGAACGTCCAGAAAAACACCGTAGGAGCCTATTGGCAAACTGAATACACTGAGTTTGTAGGCACTGTGATTCCTGCCTACTGGAGTCTATCTTGGTCAGTTTTCCAGGGTAGGAAACGAAACACATTGTTTCAATAAAATATCACATTCACTTTTCCTCTAACTCCACCCATCCACCTATTTATTTATTTCCCTGATTATTTATTGCCCTTCATCAGTCTTCCCCTCCCTTTGTCCTATTGGCTAACACAGGTCCCAGACTTTTTTTTCTGAGTCACTCCTTTATAGATATTAAATGTTTCCTCAGGGAGGCTTTTTTTCCTCACTGCTTCTCCAAAAATTAAGCTCCCTTTTTAGAACAATTTCATTGTACAAGTATTTTTCCTTTACTGCACTTACCAAAATTGAGGCTACATAATTTTGTGACCTGGGGCCAGGCTTTGGGTCTCAACACTAGACTGACCTCCAGGAGGACAGGGTAAGTCCTATGTGCCTGGCACACCGTAAATGCTCAGTAAGTATTTATTAAGGAAGTGAACTGCTACTTACTGTCTCTGGAATGTGGCATAAAGAGACCCAGGTATTTTAGAATCTGAGGAAGCCAGACTTTTGCATCAGGATTCTAAATGAATAGTAGTAATCCTATCTAATAAAAGGCCAATATGCAAATAGACCAAACAGCCGAACGACCGGTCAGTATGATGTGCACTGACCACCAGGGCGTATGCTCAGCACAGAGCTGGGCTCACGGCCGGCGAACACAGCAGCCGTGGTGGGAGCCTCTCCTGCCTCCATGGCAGCGCTAAGGATGTCCAGGAGCAGGCCTAAGCCATCAGTCGGACATCCCCCGAGGACTCCTGGACTGCGAGAGGGCGCAGGCTGGGCTGAGGGACCCCTTCTCCGCCACCCACTCCCCCCCGTGCATTAATTTCGTGCACCAGGCCTCTAGTGGTGATCATAATATTCTAAATGTCTCACTGAAAAACTGAAGTCACCCTCTCCATGCCTTCACACAGGCTACTGCTTCTACCTGGAATTCTCTTCCAATCTCATAGCTGCCTGCTTTTAGTTTTTTTAGATTGTGATGAAATACACATTATATAAAATTTGCCAACTCAGTAATTTTAAATCTTACAGTTCGCTGCACCAACTAGCCGTGGGGTATCTGAAGCTGGCTCGTAACCCGAATTTTTTTGAGCTTGCAACTCAAAGCAAAAAATCGGCCGAGAGACGGCTTGTATCTCAAAAACTCGTTAGTTGGGACACTCGTAAGTCAAGGCCCCATTGTACTCTTACATGTATGGAGCAATACGTCCATGAATGTTTTTGTACCCTGCCTTTGTCACTCTTTAGCTGCAATACGTCCACAAATTTTTATGTACCCTGCCTTTGTCACTCTTTAGCTGCGTGAACTTACACAAGTAGAAAATAGGCAAATACCAAAATTTCATTGAAAGAACACTGGATGAATTTTGTACCATCCATGTAATGGCCTTACTGGAAGATATCCAAGAAAGTAAGTAAAATAAGAACAATGGATAATCTTTTTTTTTTTAATAACACATTCTTTAGCATGCCACTGTGTAACTAGCAGCCTTAAAACTTAGTTCAAACAAGTCCTAAAGTGCTGTGGGTGGCTGGGCTCAGCTTGTGCTTTCGTTCCACAGCCATCTGGGGCTTTCCTCTGCGGGGCCGTTGGTGCTGGTGTCACCCGGGAGCTCAGCTGGGGCTGTTGTGAAGCACCTTGGTTCTTTTAATGTGGCCATTTCATATGGGTTGGGATTCTCGCAGCTGGGTTTCAAGTGGATGAAAGCAGATATTAAAAGTCACTTCTGCAGTCTATAGGTTAAAAGCTCTTCCAGATGCAGGTAGAGGGGAGAGAGATTCCACTGTCCATGAGAAGAGTGGACAGGAGATAAGAGTTTGTGGCCATCTTTAATTCACAAGCACCTGTCATTGCTGATTATATATTTATAGAAAATCCTTACTGTACACAAGAAATGGTTGATAGTGTTTGCCCTTATATAAGGGAATAGAGTTTGGGGGGAACTTGCCTCTTTGCTTGTGTTCTATGAATTTTACTATGCATTACCTATTGAAAACTCCCCTTTTAAGCCTTCTTTCACCAGTGGCACTGCAAAAACCACCACTGTTTAACAGTTTTTCATTTTTAAATAGCTTAAAGTATAGAAATGAGCTGGTGCAGGATGTCAAATCTGTTAAAAAACAACAACAAAAAACACCACAAATCTAGATGGTGGACTGCCTAGAGCAGTGATAGCGAACCTTTTGAGCTCGGCGTGTCAGCATTTTGAAAAACCCTAACTTACCTCTGGTGCCGTGTCACATATAGAAATTTTTTGATATTGGCAACCATAGTAAAACAAAGCCTTGTATTTTTGATATTTATTTTATATATTTAAATGCCATTTAACAAAGAAAAATCAACCAAAAAAATGAGTTCGTGTGTCACCTCTGACACGCGTGTCATAGGTTCGCCAACTGGCCTAGAGATTCTGAGACTGCAGTAAAATGCTCAAAATCTCTGGGTTTGGATTTAGAAGTGGGTTCAAATCCTGCCTTTGTCACTCTTTAGCTGCATGAACTTAGGCAAGCTTCTTAAATTTTTATGTAAACCAGGAATAATGGTATTTCACCCTCAAAATTGTAATTATAATGCCACTTCCTGATTGTGTGGTGTCAAAATATATGCCCTCAATCATTATGTCTCCTCTGCTCAAAACTACAAAAGGTCTTTATTGTCAGCTCAAATTCAGACTATCTTGGTGATTAGTCTTATAGCTGTACCAAACCGGTCACAGATCTTCCAGAGTCTCATCAGACATTCTTGTTTCGTAGCCTCATTCTTTACCATCCCTGGAGCATACCACACCCACTCCCAGGTAACCAAATGTGAATAGAGTGCTTGGTGCATCTGCGCGCACAGCTGGGCCCACTGTGCGGCCAAACCCCTTGTTCACTCTCCTTTATCAGACCAGGATCCTTGGCCTAGTGATTTCTCTTAACCGTCTTTGTTTCCCGACCCTTGTACAGTCTCTTTCATGAAATGGGCATTTGATGACTGAAATTGTGTTTCCAATGTGTCTTTTGGCTGATGAGCCACTAAGCAGATCCTCAATAAATAATTACTCAGTTGAAAAAATATATACTTGTTCACGTCCCTGCTTTTAATTCTTTAGGTATATACCCAAAAGTGGAATTGCCTGATCATAGTTTAAATCTGTTTAATTTTTTGAGTAGGTGCCCTAATGGCTTTCCATAGTGGTTGCACCATTTTACATTCCCGTCAGCAATGACAGGGTCAGTTTCTCCACATCCTCAACAACAGTTGTTATTTTGTTTTTCCATACCTGCTGAAATGTCACCTCTCTGAGAAACTGGTCCCTGAGATACTGCTCTACTGCCAGGTAGAGGTGCTCTATTCTTTTCTCCATGATGGTATGTATCACTTTCATTCTAACCCCTTCCCCACCCCCTACCAGTCACTTGACCTCTTGTCAGTTCCTACTGCATATGTGTGTTCTACATCCGCCCACTGCTTTCCATCTTCATTGTTAGCGTCCTCATCCAAACTGCCATCATTTCTTCCCTGATACTCAGAAGCCTCATAACTAGCCTGCTTGCTTCTGCATCACTCTTTTATCTCTATATCAGCCAAAGGGATTTCTTGTTAAAAATCATGTCACTTCCCAACTGAAACCAATTGCCTCCAGCTCCGTACTTGACCTGCTGTGCCCTGAAGAATCTGGCCCCTGCCTGCCTTTCTGATTTTATCTCCTCCCACTCTCCTTTTATTTGTATATTTCAACCTGCTCTCAGCACCCCAAGCTGATTTCTGCCAAGGCTGTGACTGCCTCAGGCCGCTGGGTTTGTCTTGGGCCCAGAATAACTTTGCACTTGACGGACTCCTTGTCATCTCTCAGACCAAATGTTGCCTTTTAGTCCTACTTTAGACGCTATCCAGGGCCACAACCTATTTTATCACATGCTTGCTTCATTTGATAAACACTTGGAAAGTATTTAGCCTATCACCAAGTCTATCTACTACTGGAATGTGAGCTCTGTGAAGGCAAAGATTTTGTTCATCTTCATAACCATTGTCCCCACTAACTGGCACAGAGGAAGTAATCAAGAAATGAATGCATGCATACAAGCATTTGTTGATGCACTTACCACATCGTAGTTTTTGTGTTGCATGTCTGTCTTTTCCTCTAGATTTTTAAAGGTAGGAATTGGATTTTCTTCTTTGAGGTCCTTTTTGGTGGCTATACAGTTTGGCCAAGAATTTATAACGAGTCAGTTTCTAAGTATTAGTTGGACCACAGATTATTATGAGCTCCCTCTTTACTTAAGAAGCACTGCGAGCCTCGGGAAACTTGGTGCTTCAGCATTTCAACTAAAGCACCCATTCCTCTAAGACAGTGTGGGGAACATCCAGCCAGAGGGCTGTGTAAAGCCCCGGAAACCATTTGTTCTGACCCTGCCCAGGCATTAGGGGTGAGTTAGTTAAAGGTTTGACCAAATGTACAGGCTAATTTTTAAGTTGATAATTTTATATGGCCTGTGAATGTTATGTTATAAATATCCAAATGGCC